ACTAAACTAAAATCAAAATGGATCCAAGATCTAAATATTAAAACAGAAACACTAAATTTGCTAGAAGCAAGAATAAGTGGAACTCTTGACACTGGTGTAGGCAAAGATTTCATGAACAAAACCATGACTGCACAGGAAATGACAGAAAGAATCAACAACTGGGATCTCATCCTACAGAAAAGCTTTTGCATAATCACCAACAGAGTGAAAACACAAACCCAAGATTAGGAAAAAAAATTTGCCACCTGTTGCTCAGACAAAGGACTAATATCTAAAATATATAAAGAACTAAAAAAAACCAGACCCCTAAATTTAAAGACCCAATCTAAGATGGGCATCTGAAATGAATAAATACTTCTCAGATGAAGAAATATAAATAGCAAATGAATACATGAAAAACTGTTCAATATCACTGGTGATTCAAGAGATACAAATTAAAACAAGCTGAGATTCCATTTCACTTTGGAAAGAATAGCTATTATCAAGAAATTAGCCAATTAACAAAAACAGGCAAGTGTGTGAGGGAAAAAAAGACTGCTTCACTTTTCTTGGGAATATAGACTGGTGTAACCACTATGAAAATTTATGTGAAGATTCCTCAAGAAACAAAAACTAGTGCTTCCATTAGACCCAGGTATTTCCCTTCTTGGAATATTTTTGATAGAATTAAAAGCATCACACTACACCCCTGTTTAGAGTAGCACAATTTGTAATAGCTAAACCTTGGGAACAGCCCAAATGTCCATCAACTGATGAATGAACAAAGAAGTGGATTTTTTAATACAATGGTGTACTATTCAGTCATAAGGAAGGATAAACTTGAAACATTTCTAGGTAAATGGATGCACCTTGAGATGCACCATACTCTTAAGTGAAATAAATTGGACACACATGTGTAAATATCATATTCTTTATCTGCTGTGAGAAAATGAAAGTATAAATAAGGGCCAAAATGTATAATAGATTTAATGTTCAAATGGGAAGGGGAACTGGGGAGGGGAAAAGGGAAAGGAAGAAAAGGAAAAGTAAAACAAGAAAAGAAGGAAAAATGGAGGCAAACTTTTGTAAACAAAGGGGGAAAGGGGATTGAATGGAGGGGGAAGGAATGGGGAAAAGAGAAAAATTCATAAATATTATACACAAGTACAAATTTTCTATGATGAATGTGATCATTATGTATACCTAAAATGTACACATAATTAATTAAAAATAATTCAGAATATTCAACAATAAGAGAAAAAAACATTTAGAAAATTGGCAAAAGACATGAGAAACATTTAAACAAAGAGAATATATTCACAAGAGGTTCAATATCATAAAAAAAGCCATCAGGAAAATGCAAATTAGAACCACGATGAAATATCACCATATAAAACTTGAAAATACTTAAAAGTAAAAATAAAATTAGGATAGTACAAAATGCTGCCAAGGATGTGGAGAAATTGGAGTACTCATATTGATGGTAGAAATTACACTGGTACTGAACGTCCAGAACATTATTTGTCAATTTGCTCTCAAACTAAATTTATGCTTACCATTTTACCTCCAAAATTGAATGTTTAAGTATTGTTCCAATGAAACAAAGAGGTGTATTCACACAACAACTATACATGAATTATCACAGAAGCTTTATTCGTAACAGTGAAAATTTTGAAACAATATGTTATATAATGGAGAAATGGTTAGACACTGTATATTCATATTGTGGAACAGTATTCAGCACGAAAGAGAAAAACTGACATAATGCCCAACATGTAACGATTTGGGCAGATATCAAAGGAATTACATGGAGTGAAAAAAGCCAACAATAGTCTGAGAATTATGGAATCATAGAACAACTGCAGATATGTTTTGCTGCTGTTTTCAAGAATCAGAGATAACTAAAATCACAAGGTGATTGAGACAAGTACGTGGGAGATCCCTGTGATTAGGAACTATCTTTTGATTATGGTAGTAGTTATACAAATCTACATATGTGATAAAATTCCACAGAGGGATACATACACACCAGTGAATGCATATAAAACTTATGAGCTCAGAATAATTCCTGCAGATTATACCAAGGTAAATTTCCTGATGTTGATATTATATTACAGTAATAAAAAGTATTGCTTGTCAGAGAAATTGGGCAGCAAGTACATGAGATTTCTCCGCTTTCTTTTGGTAACATTGTAAATTACTAATTCTTTCTAAGTAAAAAGTTTATAAATGTCTCATTGATTAGAGAATATTTACATCATTACAGGGCTAATATATGAGCCAAAACCTCTCCTAAACTGAAATTGCTGTAAGTTTTCATAAACAGTAATAGGACAACACTTTTATTTTAGATGAAATACACTTTAGATTCTTATGTTCAAAACACATTAATATTATTAGCTGTTTATCTACAGCCAGTGGATTGACTTAAAGTATTTCAGTGGGCCCAAGTCTGGGGTTATATAATATAATTATTGAGGCTGTTTCTACACAACACCCAATACGATCATAAGTGTTCTTTGAGCATTTTATGCACAGAAAATGTTCAGTAAATACATTTGATATCAAATGCAAAATAGCAAAGATCTCATTTTTGTTAGCAGTTTGAGAGATGAACAGCTGCTAAGGGAGGACTGTTTTGTTCTGTGCCTTTGACTCCATATGAATAAACTAGAGTGGATAGTTTCAACTGCTCTGCTCCACAGAATTCCAGAACTGATGGTTAAAGACCATGTACATAATACCATAGCAGGAAATCAATTGGGTTAATTTACCTGACAAACTTGTTAGAAAACTAAAATTAAAACCTTAATTTTATTGACCAGTCAATTAAGGCAAAACACTTGATTTTAAACTAAAACAATGGGTTCAGTAAGTCCTTTTGGATGCAATCTAATTGGACATCACTAACAGGAAAATCCAAATTGTATAGACTTCTACATGTCTACAGAGTAAAATCCCATACAAAATTAAAATTTTTGTTGGAGTTATGCATCATGCTATCAGCCAATTTTACAAGGTGCATAAATGACTAGGCTATATGAAATATAGTATAACAGTATTTATTCATGTTCTATTCTTTTTGTAATAGCAAAGTTGGCATTTTGTAAAGTCCAGAGGTACAAATCATTTTTAAAATCATGATGATATTAGTCAAAACAGATGTTCAAATATATATTTGCCATAGTTTTACAGACTGCTTACTTGTCAAGCTGAATAAATATTGAGATTTCTAATTTACCTTTCTCCTTTTTAATCTCTAAAATATATTTGAGGAACTATATTTTCCTTATTACCACAAAAATAACTCATAGAATTTGATACTCATTTTCATTTAATAGGAAACTTTCTACCATAAATGGAGTGCAGATTAATATGCCATTCCTCTTTATTAATCTCCTCATCAGGATGTGTGGCAAAACGATTTGATCGGAATGAGTAAAACTGTGCCATTACACAGCAAGAGATCGGGAAATGCCAGCACATACCACTGTGCATCTTATGAATTTCATTTACTGTACATCTGTACTAGTGCTGTGGCTGATTTTTCATAAGACACAAAGGTGTGTGCTTGAGTACAGCACACAGACAAAGTCTATCTGTCATTTTGACTTATGAGGTTTGCAATTCCAATAAAGTCATATGTGTCCTGTACATCTTGAGATCTTTCCATAAAAACTACTTTCCTATTAAGCCGTCCTTCAAATAGTTGTGACAGGATGGAAAAGGAATCTCAGGAACAAATTCTTGCTGGATTATAAATGAAGTTTCATCTCTAACTAGAATTTCATTACCTTTATAAAAGTTTCGTTAGGTTAATGTACTGAACATTATTTCTTCCTTTCTGACAACCCTTCTGAAATCAATCATTTGCATCCTGCAGTCCCAGAGGGTGTAGCCTTTCAGCATCTGGCTAAGAAAAGACTACACATGCAGCAAGGAAATCAACCATGGTACAATGCAATTACAGTCATACACTATTCCAAATTCCAACTGAAATGTTCATCTAGGTAATTAAAAAGAAAATTCAACCTTGAGAAGATAGAAAATAATTTTCAATTAACTCCTCAGCTCTGGGAACATTTTTTTCTAATAATTCACAGCCTATACCATAGGATTATATGTATTTCCTTTTCCCCTTTCATTTAATTTTTTTAATCAAAATTGTACTCAGCTTTCATTTCAAGAGAACATTATTTCCTAATTTTAGTTCTTTCTATCTTCCTCAAACTGATATCCTAAAACAAAAGTGAATATTGTACAAAGGCAACATATGCTCCTCAGTAGATTAAAGGCCAGATTTAGATTCTATCTATCTGCATTCCAACTAAATCCTTGTGCATTAACATGAAAAGTTTTTGTTTCAAATGCCTAAGTTAACATATATTTTTAAGAAAGTTTTTAAGATTTGAGAGGAACAGCACTTCCCAGGACTATAACCAAATTTTTGCATGTATGTGTCTTCTGTCATATATATGTATATATAGTGGCTCCTCAATTAACAAATGCTTTTGTTTGCAAAAAATTTGGTTCATAAACAGAAGTGTTTGGCAGGTTTTATTTTTGTTTGTGCACACTGCATCAGGTGACAAACATGACTGCGGCTATCTTTCCTGCATGACCACAGATGTGGCCATCTTTTCCAAAATTGTGAAATGAATTAAGTTCGTGAACAAAGTAGCACAGTGTGTGCATATGTGTATGTGTATGTATGTATGTATGTATATATGCCCATCATATATAATGCAAAGAAAGTCATCCATAAGTAAGCAGGAATTATGAAAGTGCTCAGAGTGAAGTTTTCAACCACATGGTCAGACAAATTTCAGGTCGAGATATAATTTGTAACATGAAATAAAAATGCTTCAGGTTGATATCATTTTTATTACTGAAAGAATATATCCAAATTAATATGAATGTGTTCTGACTTAGGCAAATGTGAATGCAATATACAGCACAGTTGTTACTTGAGTTAGTATCTGATCATTATATTTAAATCAAATGAGCAAAGATCATTCTACCTTTATTATCCATGTGGAATTTTTTCATTATTGGTCCATTATCCCGATCAACAATAAATTCTTCTCTATTGTTGGATGCCATAACTATAAAGAAGAGATGATGCTAGGTAACTTTCTTTGTAAAATAGTCCCCCAAAAGTCAGAAAGGTATCACACAAATGCCTAATATTCTCCAATGACAAATAAAATGAATTTTGTATACTTTGTAACAGTGGCAACATTTTTGTTGGTCTTGACCATACTATTTAAAAATCAATGTGATGTTTAACCATGCAAATTTTAAAATACTTAACACATGGAACTTACACAATTGCCAATACAATCCCACTAAACTATGTAAAATGTACAGTCTCTTAAAACATATGAAATAATTTATCTACCTCCATAATTAATGTTTCCTAAAATGCTTCTAAAATAATTCATCACTTAAAATATTATGAGTTTTAAAATTTATGCATTTCATTCAGTATGGTAATTTTTACAAATACTATAAGTAGAAAGATTAGCAGATAAAGTGTAGCTTTCTGGTTATTATTGTGACTTCTCATTGAACACTTCTACTTAAAGATGTAAACTATGCTAATTTTCATAGTTTTCATTTTGTTGTCCATAATTATTTTATTAAATTATGTAGTTCTATTAATAAGACACAGTCACTATAAATATTAAGAATTTTTAACACTTTTTATTCATTGGGATGTAAATTCACTACCACGGTTGGGAACGTTACAAGTGTATTTATTATACGGCACTAGCTGTTACAGTCTAACATATTGAACTAACAGATACGCAATCAAAAAACCTGAAAGAGTTCATTTAAACTAGAAGGTATGATAGACATTGTGAAATGATAGGAAAACGCTCAAGGGTAAAGGGCAAATGGGATGTGGGAAAAGAGAAGGGAAAGACGGAGAAGTTTTGTATGTATGTAGATACAGGATAGTTAACATAGTTGATCTACTATCTTCTATTTCTTTGCTGAAAGAAACTGTTAATGAGTCCTTGATTGATCAATATTGCATGTCTCTATCTGTTTTCATGAGAAACCACTTTGAAGATATCAATATGTAATACAACAAGCATTGTTAATTTCCTACCAATTTGTTTGTAACTCTGTATTGTCTGTACTGTTCTTTTGCTGTTTTGTAAATGGTTGTCTGTCTGTTAAGGTTTTCCTCCTTTTATTTTTAAAATAAAAAAAAAAGAGTAAAACAAATCCCATGAGATTGAGTGATAAAGAAAACCTTTTGCATATACCAAACATGACACTAAATTTTATTTTTTGGTCTTATTACTTCTACAATAAAACAAATAACAACTTCAAAAAGACATATACAATATGTTAAACAATTCCCAGCTCCTCCAGAACTTTTCTCCCCGCCCCCTTTCTGTGCTTAATGAGAAATTTCTTGAAAAACATCTTCGAATTATTTGTTTTAGGCAAGACCCTCACCCATTTTCTCCGAATGGTGATCCCTCTGAGAAGGTGAGCTGGACACGCTGCTGCTAGGATGGGAGGAAGTTTGGCTCCCGGGGTGATGATTCTCTTCGAGAGAGGGAGCAGGAGAAGGACTTTCTAAGATCCGCTCCTAACACAAAAGGAAACACAAAGGATAATGCCATCTGTTTGCCAGTTTCCCCTAACATTTAAAATCCTTATGTCTCAATTGTCCTTCAAATGTGCAAATCCAAAGTACATGGGCCTTATATATGTTTGGACAAACACTCATTTTTGGTTCCTGTCAAATTAATGGGATATTGTCAGAGTTAAATGGGAAAAGAATGCAAAGGGCCCAGAGCCATTCTGGGCACATGGAGAAAGTTCAAGAAAAGTTAGTTTCCATCTCTCTTCATAGAAAACTTTTTAAGTGATTATAAACATAGATGCTTAGTGAAGGTTATTCCTATTCTAAGTGTCTACAGTAATGTAAAGTTCCTGCTAATTTCATGAAGAGAGATACTAATATCTGATCTGGGTACTAGTTCTCCCAAATGTAAAGCTTTAAAAATCTTGAGGAAAAAAACCAAATTGTAACAACTAGTATATGTTTAGTTTCTCTCTCCTTTTTTTTTTCTTTTGTTTTTTTTTTTTTTTTTGGTTTTTTTCCAGTGCTGGGAATCAAACTCATGACCTCGCGCTTGCCAGGCAGGTGCTGTGCAGCTGAGCTAAATCCCCAGCCCCCATATGTTTAGTTTCTCTGCACAGACAAAACTTAGAAAAATTATATACCTCCAATCTATCAGATCTTAGAAACCTATGTTAAATTCTACCAATGTAATGTTTGAATACTCATAGCAACACAATGATCTTATTTTATTTTAAAGAGAATAAAAATAACAAAATAACAACATAAACAAAAACAAAACAAAACAAAAACAATGATCTTTTCAACAGAGAATAAATTCAGCTAATGTCAATTGCTTAGTGTTGCTTAAAGATTCATAATTTTAAATGAAGAATTTGAATAAAACTCAAAAAACTGTTGCATACTTCAATAATATTGCTATGGCTGAAAAGACTTTCATGTTTATGAAAATGTTATAAAACATTTAAATTATTCACTATATGCATCTCAAATAAATAATTTGGTTAATTTGATTAATAAAGCAACAAAATTGCAATGAATATGCACACAATGCAAAGAAAATGAGTGAGTGTTAGACATGCTGGACGGAGAATGCTTATTCTGTAAAATATTTAATTCATGCATAATATATTTCTTAAATGTTCTATCTAGTTATCTATAATTATGTCAGTATTCCAATGTTAACAATACGAATCAGTTTATTAAATATGTTTTTCTCCATTGACTTTGTATGAGAAGACTACAACTTATAAATCTCCTAAAGAAAAACTGTTTGTTTAATGCAATAGTAATAATTTTAGAGCTAAAAATTACTAGTTCATTTTGGCAGTTAACATTTTGCAATGTCCGTTGTTTCAGCGGTCAAAATGTCACCTCCCAAAAAAATGTACAATCTACATACATCTTTATTGCTTGAACCTGTGAATACACTACATGGTCAAATGGACTTTCCAGGTATGTTTGAGAACCTTGAACTAGGGAGATCATCTTAGATTATATTATTAGACCTAATCTGATCCCAATGGTTGTTAGAAGTGAAAGACAGAAAAACCTCAATGATTCAACATTATAGGCTTTAAAAGTGAAGGAAGGGGGCCACAGACCAAAAACTGTGAGTGGCCTCTAGAAGCTGGAAAAAGCAAGGAAACATATTTCCCAGGAACCTACATAAAGGAATGCAATTTTTCTGGCAGCTTTCTTTAAGCGTTATAAGACCTCTATCTAAATGCTGACCTATAGGAATGTAAAGTAATACACTTGTGTGGTTTTGATTCCATTAGATTTAGGGTTAATTGTAGTGTTGTAGTGTAGTGCATTAGGACACTAATACATCATCAGTATTCTATATAGTTTTCAGTGTTGTTTTACATTACTAGAATTTAATAAACACTCAATAACTTTATTGAAATTAATAGTAGATTTGGAGTATATTAACTGTAGTATTATATAGAAATTAAATAACAATAATTGTAAAGGTTTGGTACATTTTAAAGATTTCATAGATGTTATCATGCCTTACAGTGTTTCAAGCAGAGTACGTAGGGAAATGTATAGTTTTACCAATGTATAAAAGGCACAATCAAATGAAAGAGTATAAAGAAAACAGAGCAAAATAATTACTTTTTTTTTCCTCAATAATTGCAGAAATCCTTAAAGCTATCACTATGTTTTCACCTTTTGAAGAGACTAGAAGTTCATCAGTTGTGAAACACAATTAAGAGTATCATGTTTACATATGTATTCTCTATATGGTATATGTGCATATGCACAAAAATTAACAGAAAAATTCATATATGAGTCCATTTTTTCTTTCACTGTGTTGTAATCTCATTGATTTATGTTGAAAATATGTGTGTAAAATGCAAAATATTCATTATTTTTTGACTCTATCATTGAAATTTTGCTGCAAAATATATAAATCAATGAACTACATTTATATGCAATCAAACTGTATGAACACATAGCAACACAGCACACCATTGACTGCACAAAAAGCAGACTAAAGAAAATCACTGTTTAGTGGCAAACATAAGCCTTATATAGAGCATTACATGCTTCCATTAAGAATGGAAAAATTTTGAGTAATTCTTATAGTTGATGGTTTACAAAGGCAAAAGAATGCAACTGAGAGTGGTACCTGATCTCATCTACTCTGCTAATAAAAAAAGCTCATTCTAAATTTAAAACAATCAGCAGAATTTCTACACAACTGGAGAATTTGTGAATAATAAGAAAAATACAATGTGATAAGAAAGGATTCCCTCATGTTTAATATTAGCTTATGTCTTACTTATCTTTCTCTCATTCCTGGGACAAAATATGCAACACCTAATGTCAAGGGAGGAAAGCTTTATTTAGCTCAGTCTGTAGAGGTTTCAACCCATAATCAGTGGGCTCCAAGGCAGGATGTCATAGCAGCGGGGCAAATATTCAAGGTAATAGAAGAAGGCAAAGGCAACAAGATCAAACAGGAAAAAGCAAGTCTCCTCTCCCTTATACTGTAGGCAGGCACCCTGCCCTAGGGCAGGTGTAGCACTAATATCCCCAGTCCCAGCACTAGAAAATGAACCAGTCACAAGCTCTAGATTCAGCCACCTCCAAAAAGCCTGACCCTATGCCTGCATGAGGCTTTGGGGGTACATCTAGACACAAACCATAACAGCATATGACCGTATAATATGAGCTTGGATAATTCACCTTCAAACTTCTTTTTTGCAATTTTCAGAACTATCTTATGTAAAATAATGGGATAACTTTAAAAACATTATTTAAGGAATGAATATTAAAAGGGAAAGTAACATTTTTACATGAGGCAATATTTCTGTTTTAAGATTTTGTAACATAAACTTTCCAAATTCAATCAAGACTCAGTTTTTTAATGTTATTCTTATAAGGCAGCCCAAAGATCAGACTTTTTTTCACCATGCAAACCATATAAGATGAGTCCAGTATCTTATGTTAATTGAGAATTATGTATGTTTAAAAAATATTGTGTGGAACTGAAAGGCTTAGTCTCTCCTGAAATAATAATAGTTATATGGACAATTTCTTTTTTCACAATAAACAAATCCATTTTTTCAGACCTGTAATCAGTATGCATGTATCTAGCCGCTTAACTGCAATGTGCTGTGGTTCATTAGGTGGCTACTGTTGTGTCTCAGCATAGTTAAAATTTCACAGCAAATTAATCTGTTTTATTACAAATGAGAACACAAGTGATAATGTCCTCACCATTTGCCAAGTACAGGGTTAGCACTATTCGCAACAACTCAATAAAGGCATTTAAAAAGGGAAATTGCAAATCTAAAGCCGAAGTCACCTTTAGCCATTGCTGACTTCATTTTATGTGACATTTATGACTTTACAACCCTATTACTCTGTGAGTATTTCATTCACATCCATCCAAGTACAGCTGCAACTTCTCTAAAACAATACAGAAGTCTTCTCCAGATTCAAAATAGCAAAAGAGAGAGATTTCCAAAACTGATACTTTCTTACACAACTAAACCCCTTTTTAACCCCTTCTACTTGTAAAATCATCTCAAAAACTCATATTCTAACATGTACTTATATTTCAAGGTCAGTGTCTAAAAACACAGAGTCACTATATGAATGGTATCAATTGGTACATACATTGCTCTCTTCTACCAATTTCCTTTTCTGTTGAGATATCTTAAAAATGACAAAATGGAATATTCATCACACTAAAGCATTTTCACACACATTGCTTCTTCATAAAGAGCAAGAGTAATGCTTAGAAAACCTTATATTTTTATAAGGTTTAACATGATTGGGTTTAAGATTCAATTTATTGGCAGGAAAGTATCAACTCTGACCCTCTTTAAGGAGATCGTTTATTTTATGTTAATGTATTATTTTATTTCTTTAAAAATATGGTAGTATAGACAGAATTTATGAAGAACTAATATATATGTATTAATCATCTCTATCCTTTGGATATATGTATATGCCCATGTTTCATTACCTTTTAATAATAACCATATCAATTTTGACTTGTTGCATCTGATATTTTATTCTATTTATTCTGATCAAGGACTCAGTGAAACTATGCAATATATATCTTGTCCCTTTGTTTTCATTTAATTTGAACTCAACTCTCTCTGTAATTAATATTCCAAATGTTCATTGGTTAATGAGCTCTTAAAGGATTTAATGGTATTTCACTGCTGTGCAGTGGCTTTGGGAAGTTTATCTGAATACTAGATATTTTATTCATACATTTGTCCCGATATTTCATATTTAATTGATGTGCTCCTTCTGTACTGTCACTAGAGTTCTGCAGAAGCAAAACAGATTGCAGTGTGACATACTTTAATAATAAAACCAAGGACAGGAAAAGAAAAAGTTTGCTCATTGTTGATAGCACTTGGCTTACTACTAACTCTAAAAAAGCATTTGAAATCCCAACTTGGTGTCTCAAAATACTGTTGAAAGCATGATACTTGATTGGCCTTTATGATCCAATTTAGGTGTCCATGTTG